GCTAAAAAGCGCGGCCGGCCGCCTGGTGCAAAGGATAAGGTACCACGGAAAAAGGCACGAGCTCAGAGGCAAGATAGTACTCAGCCTACGCCTCAGCCTACGCCTCAGCCTCAGCCTCAGCCTCATCCTCAGGCACAGAGGCTTAGCCGAGAGGAGCTTCTACGTCAGCTTGCGACGTATGATGAAGATATTGAGGTGGAAATTGACCGAGATATTGAGCAGGCGGAGGCGGTGATGCGAGGGGGCTAGGCTCAATGCAAAGGAGCCGTAATAAGGTGAGGTTTTGACAGGTTTGGCATACTTGTAGACACGTAGGCACTTCTAGAATAGAATTTCTATTCTATACTTAGACTTAGACTTATACTTATACTACGTGAGCTCGTACGTGAGGCTACACGAATCGGTGAGGTTACAGAAGAGCAGAATGCTGCCAACCTATTTCACGCCGATTCGTATAGCCGTACGTGAGCTCGTACGTGAGGCTATACAAATCGGCGAGGCTGCACGAATCGGAAAGGCTGCACGCCAATTCGTATAGCCTCACGTGATGTATAGGTGAATAACCGGAGCTCCGGCGCAGTGCTCCGAGCCAATTAGAGGGCGGTGAAACGACAGGGGTTTAGGGGGTGTACAACTACTAGAAAAGGGGGTGTACAACTACTAAAAAGGGGGTGTACAGGTACTAGCGCCCATATCTTAGTATTAACTACATTATTAGTCTCCCCGCCTGCACCCGCTAAGGAATTAAATATTGGAATATTGCTATAGTCTGCAACAGACTTATAAAATACCGCCATTTTATTCCTATAGATAGTCTAAGTTTAAAGGCACTAGTTTAGATTTTCCTACTACTTTTTACCTTATACAGAATCCTATAATCTATTACTTTAGATAGAGGCAGCAACTTTATTACTAAGTTCTGGAAACGCCTATGCCGACGCCTTAGAATATCTCTTAAAATATCTACTACTTTCCACCCTAAAACTAATAGATAAACAGAACGCTTTAATTAGGAGCTAGAGGAATATTTACGCAAATACATTAACTATGCCTAAGATAATTAGGTTAACTAGCTACTAATAGCAGAATTCTAAGTAAATAATACTGTTAATACATCTACAGGTATAACGCTGTTTTTTATAAACACTAGCTACTATCTTTAATCTGGCCTAGAACCGGCTAAGGCTATAGACCTAGATTTAGA